GTACCAAATGCTACTTTGTGGTCGCTGCCAGGAAACTCTTTACCTACTCGAAGGGTAGTGGGGATGATACCATTAGTGAAAACTAGATCTAAAATTTTAGATAGCCTGGTAGGATGCTTTACGTGTTGTTGCCAGTCTTTTGTTTCTATTATGTTCAAAAATTCATCATGCCGTTTTGGTGAGCAAGTGTTTGTCACACTACATCAGGCATGCTAAGGTCCCCACACATAATTTTGGCCGTGTGAGGTAGTGAAGTGGCGTAAGCGAACGTTCTAGCAAGCTTCATATTACCTTAAACAGTTCAGCATGGGGGATGACAGATGCAACCTATAAGATAGGGACTTGAGTGAGATGGCCTTACAATAGCCCAGACTGAGTCGTTATCTGTGATGAGCTGCGGGTGGCCTTTATATCAGACCTGATATACATAGCACATCCCCCCCTCTGTCATGGTTTCTGTCACCTCTGAATACGTGGTGTAACGACAGAAGGCAAGAGTCAGGCAACAGATCGTTTATCTAGAAAATCAACACATATCTATAGATTTCCATGTACGTTATTATTCGTTTTTGCTAGCAGAAAAACACAGTCTTCTGATTCGTTGTTTCTCGCTGAAAGTTAATTTTTCATCTCTTTGTGGCCGTTTATTGAAGGTCAGACCATATATCTGAGAATTGTACCCGCCCACGCAAAGTCTGCTGTGATTGGTTGTTGAGTCAGTCTTTATTCTTGTTTTTCTCATGACCAATATTTGGGACGTCAACATTGACGTAAATTGCTGTCTCCCAATTTTGGCTAGCAGACAGCTCTCACCACAGTAGTAGTTACCAATAGAAGTATCTTTATCGCAAATCTGAGGAGTGCACCATGTTTCAGTAGTCATTATGAGGGAACAGTTGCAAATTGAGGATAGTGTCATGAAGCCAAACATTTTGCTGCGTAAGGAGCGAGCATTGATGAGACAGAATGAGAGTTAGGAATAACGGTGAAATCGTATATATCTTTAAAAACCTTATCCTCAAGGTTTATGGCGTCTGGAGTAGATTGTTTGATGGTGGCAACTTACTGTCAGTGCTGGCAAAGCGTACTACACCAGCATCAGCACAGAGAGAGGTGCTATCGTTGGTAACCTTGGGGCTATGAAGTGTTCATAATGCCATGACTGCAATGCATCGTCCTCCCTTCTGGAGACAAGGAACTTGACAGTATGTGAGCTACTTGCGTCAATAGTGAGGCTGAAATTTCGTATTGGCTGAGAAAAATTAGATTGGTTGAAGGGGAGGAAGGTATTTATTGTGGATAGCATGCCAGAGTAAAGTTACGTGCATCGCAGTTATGACTAATATTTTGTGTGTTTAAGTTATTTTTGTAAGTATTAGTACATCGATGGTCTTGTGTAGTCTGTATTCGGTGGTTTTCGCGAATGTGGTGAGTCAGAAGGCCACATTTAGGAAACAAGCCTGACCCACTTGTTCCTTGTTATAGAGGTCTCTGGATCATACTTTCGTCTAAATTAAACACAGATAGGGGAGTTGTGTCGGGGTAGATGTGTACCTGCCGGTAGTGATTCGACTTAGTTTTAGGGTGCCCAGAGAGATAGCGTCTGCTGTGTCTATCGGATGAAGATTTGTTCGGTGTTGGACGAATCGACGAGTTACCTCTCTCTTCATTGACGTCATGTTGATGGTAGTATGAAGACTTATTCAGCTTCCCTGGGTTAATGGTGGGATTGAAGTTGCTTAAGTTAGGGTTACTGGGTTTTCTGCTGAGAAACCTATCAGTGACGGGTTTGAGTACAGGTATTCTGGATGGTAGGGTTACTTTACTTCGTTTTGTATGCACGCTAGTCTGAGAGCTTCTTGGGAGCGTTATATTTAATGGTATATGCTCAGCTTGTTATACGACTGGAATTTCCTAGCATAATTAGGTCCACTGAACTTAAACAGCACAGGACACACATACTTTTCTGATTGTTTCCTGAGTCTGATTAAGTGGCAATTTGCTGATGACATGCCGCACGCTTGGAGATGTGTCGCTTTGATTTTGTCCAGGGACATCCAATCAGGCAGCTTCTGTATCGTGAGTTGGGTTACAGAGAAGCAGTAACGGCTTGATGGTATTTATATTTTCATTGAATTTCTTCACAGAGTTTCATAGAGAGATAAGGTCCAACTTATTTTGGTTAGCATTTGCGTATATCTCTGATAGCAAGTCAGACACAATGACTTCGGGGACATTGTTGGGGCTACGTGGAACGTGTAGTGATGTACGTATCTTCTTAGCCGAGTGACCTGAGCTATTCTTACGCACACAAATTATCGTTCATTACGTTGTGCCATTGTTGCACACTGATCAATATGGTTTCAAGTAGAAGCTGAGCTAAAACGAAAACAGATATGTGCACAAATAGTATATCGAGTGGATATACAGACTGAGAACTACTGTAGACACGGTATATAATTTTATTGCTTATAAATAAACAACAAATAGACAAAAGTATTAAACCATGAAATAGAGACTATATAGAAACCAATAATCTTGAAAATTGATCCTGATTTATAAACGACAAAATAATGAATTTCTCTATAGTTTCCCTTTGTGTTGAGTTGTCCTTTAGTTGTAAAAGGAGGATGAGCCCTGCGAAAAAGTGAGCCCAAACTTGAGAACTGGAGGTGATATATCTGGATAATTGGAAGCTGCGGTAGCAGTCAATATGGGTTATATTTGAGGAGTGGTATAATACCCACTACAATATTCCAGAAATCGGTAAGAAAATATCCACGTTGTGGGGAGAGATTGTGCTAGCTGTTCCATCATTGATCGAACTTTGGCCACAAGTTCTGCTGATACTCATACGTTCACTTGCTCTTCCGTAGGTCGTCTCCCCCCAACTTCCGATCAGCAATGCGTGCTGACCGTTCGGGAGAAGAGTCAAGATCTTGGGCGTCTAGTGCCTGTTGCATGCAACCCTGCTTCAGAACAGCGTGTCCCACCACGCTTGCCCCGACAAGTTTCTGTAGGTGGAGCAAGCCATGTGGTGGGGATCTATCTGCCATGTTCTCCCCTTGAAGCAACCGTTGTATACACTGGCTTTGTGGTATAGAGAGGCGTTTTATCACCTCGCACTTGAGCGGTATTTATAGTTGCTGTTTTTGAGGGTGAAGTTCAAGGTCCCGCAACTCCTTGTTAATCTGATAGGGTAACTGAGAACACACGTCCCTATACCTGGCAGTTTCAGAATTAATGTTCCACCGCTCATAGCCGTGCTCTAGTTGAGTAAACATAGTTCCAGGTCATATCGATCAAATCCAAGTAATTTTAGGGAGCATGAAAAAGGGCAGTTGAAGCGGGAAAAACGTAATTAAACGCACGGGTAGGCATTCATCACTCAGTAGATAAAGAAAGCCCTACAAGTCATAAAGAAGGTATAATTCCTACTTGGGTACTCATCTTATCCTTTTGAATTTCTGAGCTACTTACTACATCTAAAGAGTGATATCATACCGCGTTGTACAGGAGTATCTTAGGGTTCTATCCTAGGACCACTGATGTTTTTGATTTTTTATCAACGACCTACCGTGCTGTCTAAGCTACCCGACTCCTCTATACGCCGACGACGTAAAGATATGGAGGGCAATAAAGTGTTCGGAAGACTTAAATAAATTACAGGCAGTTCTACAGCTTCTGGAAGACTTAGCGGTTGCCAAAGGCATGACTTTCAACCTGAAAAATTGAAAAGTAGGGAAATTACGAACCTGTAGGCCGTATAAAATGGACACAAGGGTAAACTGCAGGGGGATGTGGCGAGGGCATATGTGGCCATACACTTTACACATAGACGGTCAGGTGCACTCACTCCTGAGCTATTTCTAAGGTCAGACCACATCTTGAAGTGCACAATATAATTGCACCCTACTGCATAGAAGAGACGCGAACCTCCTGGAAAAAGTTAGTGGACGGGCGACAAAAGGAGTGGCTGATCTCCGAAATAAACCGTATGATGAACGGCTAAAGAAATTAGGCCTTTTCACACTTAGCTGCAGTCAGCTTAGGGAGGATTTGATTACTGTCTACAAGATAAAAAATGGCCAGAATCACCCAAACGATGGTGTTCTACCATTGAGTAGGTATGGGCTTCCTCGTGGAAATCACAGAAAGATAGCTCACCAGAGGGCGAGGACTCGCTCCCACTTCTTTTCACTTTACTTTGCCGTCCCTGGAACTCCTTACTAGCAGATGTAGCTATGGCACCTTCTGCTAACACCTTTAAGCGAAGGCTGGACAATCATGGAGCGCCACAAGGACTGAGACCAAATGGCCTATCCCCTTGTAATCCCATACACCATTTAAGGGTAGACAACTAAATTCGTCATTTAACTTCTTCACATTCTCACCTGTTCTACCCTCCTGACTACTCCACCTATGCACTTACACTTATTATTACTGATATTGTATGCATATATATTTATATATGTATGTATATTTCAACTTCAAATTTAACTGGCTGACTGTTTTTGCATTTTCTTTATTTTTCCTGTCTTTTAGTGTAAATAACCTACACTAATTATATTCCCTATTATTATCTGTTTTCTTTTGACGAATATACCGGAGGACTAACTGCTTCACAGTAGTAACAAATCTTAACACACCTCATTCTACAAACCAAAAAAAAAAAATAATTAATCCCTGCACTACTCCTTTTGGAGTCAACCAAAGCTAGGACAGTCGAGTGGCGGGACGAGCTACGCAAACCTTTACCGAAGATCAGGAACCTCTACCTCACAATCAAAAAAATCAAATTGGTTTATGCTACCTCGTAAAAACGACATTGGATATTGGATGTTAAACAGCTTTTATTGCTACAGCCTTTCTGAGAAAGATGCTTGACTTACATATTTATTCGGGTTTCACCCAAGATATTAACCATCAAGACTTAGCAACTCTTCCTTATGTCATGCAGTAAGCATGAAAGAACTTACAGGTTTGCACAGTTTGATAACAAGGACACACGTGAATTCAGCGGTCTTCCGAATTGTTATCGTGGTTCAAGGTCAGAGGCTTCGTTGTTAGCCTGTCGGTTTTTACCAGTGCGGGGAGGAAATCAACTATGTCAGTCTAAGCAGACAAGCCTACTGTTGATCTCAAAATAAGCTTTAAAAGCAGTTGAAGGTGAGAAAGAGCTTATAAGAGAATAATGAAGCTTAGTACTGATCGTGAATTCAATGGAAATCTTGTTTAACACTACACAAATCCTGGAAGGCTGCTCAGAATTCAGTTGATGACTTCCATACGGATACAGTTAAAGTTATTAATTGACAGGAACCTCATTTTACCAGTGAAAACTTTGGTATAGTTTACCTGTAGGTATATATACCTTCCATGAGGTTCAGGGCCCGTAATTGGGCGCATTAATGCACTCCCGTCATATTCGCTATATTGACCATTAGTTCATGTATTCGTTAATCTTGTTCACTGGTATCGAAATTTTTCGATCTACAATTCATTTACTCTCTTTTTCTTATATCGGAAAGGTGTTAAACTGAAATTATCGAAAATTTTATTTATATCCCTTACATCCTGAGTGGATTGTAGAGCTTTAAGCTTGAGCCGGGAAGTTTCAGTAGCAGTGGTGTTTATTTTTTAACGGGATGGGATTACTAGCCAAATGGCCAACCTTTCCTCTTTATCAAACTTATGACCGGCTTAGCGAGGTTTAGAAATGCCTTGTCGGCTGGGGATCGAACCCCTGACCGCGGGTGTAGTTAGTCAGTGCATCCTACCAATGAACTATCAGCACTAGTAAACTCTACGCAATCAATATTTTCGAATTCTAATTTGTTATGGTCCTTGTTGAGTTATTTAAAGATGATTAGAGTAATAAATAAGTTTTTGTTGACTTCTTTTATATTATATTTGAAATGCTTCTCAGTGTCCTAACTTCTGGAGATTAATTTGGACATTCGTGTTTGTTTTATCTCACTCAATTCTTCAAACATGACTGATATGGTATAGTTATTCAATAATTAAGCGCCAAGCCATCGAATGGAATTCTAATGGGAAGCAATGCATTGGATGATGTCCAAGAGAAGAAAGGTTATAGGCAGTCGTAGAGCTGGTTGAAACTGATGGCAGATAACGCAGTAGGATGGAGATGTGCTTTAGAAGTCCTCTGTTCCACTCAGAAAACAAGTAGCGAGTTGTAACCAAAATATTTGGTACAACTATGCTGGATATATGGATGAAATGATTACCTGAATCTGTAACGTTTATTTTGTACATATAGAAAGTTACAACTGAGCTGCTTTTTACTTGATGTTATTCCGGCTTTCTTTAAAGTGTTCTAATAAAAGCTGAATCATTTAAGATTGATATGATGATAGTAGTTTTCCCTTATTGTGAAATATTTCACATTCAAAGTAGCATAGTTCAAACTTCTCATTTAAGATAATTGATACTGGGTTCATATTCATTCTTTCATCTTACTGTCAAGATCATATTGGAGAGATCATGTAATTGTGTATAGTTCATAACTGTTAGTCAATAAACCGCTTGTAATTCCATGCAATTAGCAATCACTGACAAATTCACCTGTCGTGTGAGGACTGGACTACTGGTACTACCTATAGCTACTCAAACCATGATAAGTGGGGGAATTTGAACCCGTGACCAACAACTGATTGCAATTCAAGCGCCTAGTCTATTTAGACACAGCTCCATTAGCTCACAGCTGAACAGTGCTCACGATGCGTCTTTTAAACGATGAAATACCATTATTATTATTATTATTATTATTATTATTATTATTATTACTGTTTCCTTTAATTCCTTGAGGAACATAGGGCTTCAGCCGTGCGTCTCCATTGCGTTCGGTTCTCTGCTAGAGTCTTCACCTGGCTCCAAGTCTGCCCACACGTTTTCATCTCCTCTTCACATGACCTCCTCCAAGTCACCCTTGCACTGACGACCAACTCGCCGCTTCCCTTTCGGGTTCCACTCGAGGGCTTGTCTAGTGATGTCACTTGATGGTTTCCTCAGAGTATGGCCAATCCATCTCCATTTCTTCCTGCCTGTTTGTTTCACAATGGGTTCCTGGTTGGTTCGTTCATTGCCAGAGATCTCTGTTGCTGATCTTTTCTGGCCATCTGATCTTGAGTATTGAGCGAAGAAAACTCTTAATGAAGGTCTGTAGTTTGTTTGAGATGCTCTTTATGACGCGCAGTCCAAGTCTCTGATCCGTATAGTAGCATTGACTTCACATTGGAGTTGAAAATCCGGATCTTATTTTTGATGCTGAGTGCTGTTGACCTCCACACAGACTTGAGAGTAGTGAAAGCTTGTCTTGCTTTTCCGATTCTTGCTTTGATATCTTCGTCAGTTCCGCCTGTGGTTGAAACGATGCTTCCCAGGTAGAAATACCATAAGTCTATGGTATTCTGTGTTCCGGCTGGTGATAACACTTTCATTAAAACAAAAACTACATTTTGGTACATTATAGGTATCAGGAGGTGGAGCCACGCAGAATCTCAATAGTCTGTGCTTAGACCGAAGCAAGTGGTTGTGTCTTAAGAGGAGACCACCTCTCCAGTGAGCGCTTTTGACTTGAATTCTGATCCTGACAGAAGGCAGTGGAGTTGTATTCCTGTGACCAAATCAGGTTCGCACACCATTCAATTCTTTTGGCTTCTGGAGCTCATGTACACCATAGGTTTAGAGTCAGGGTTTTCCAACCCCCCCGCCTCCTAGGTAGATCTACCTGCGTGTCCTCTAGTTTTGTTGTAAGCGCCCGACATCCACATTTGCACTTCCACTTTCATGTGAGGAACACCACAGCGTGAAGACAGTGAATAGGAGGTACCTAACATAGGCTATGAATGTGTGTATGTATGTGTGTGGCTAAATGAGAGCATTGCGAGCGGATAACCGAAGTCTATCCATCCACCATCAGCCGTACCAGATCGTTTATATGGGGCATTTTTCAGTTTAGTGTCTTCACTTTTGTTCAATAAAATTTTTTTTATTGTCTAACTTCACCGTATAACTTTTGTTTTACTTCATTATTCCTAGAAATAATAATAGTAATAATAATACTATTGATAACACGACAGTCCGTTATACTCATCATCTCATAACAGGATTATCTACGAATGTCTAAGAATTTTATTGACAAATTACGCATATTTGTTAGAGCTGGTAGTGGAGCTGCAGGCAGTCCAGCTGTAAAAGGTCAAGGAGGAAATGGTGGCAGTGTCTACTTAGAAGTTGATGAAAGTCAAACACTGCATAAATTGCTACAGAGTAATCCAACAAAACGTTTCAAAGTAAGTTCTCCTTCAAAAAGTGTGTTTTTTATGTTGTGGGCATTTGTCTAAAATACATAATGTCAGCAATTTATTGGGTAGTCGTATTCTGTCCGGCTGAAAAGATCCGTTGGAAGAAGAAAGACTGTGGTACTTGTCGATGTCTTTTTTAATAATCTCCACTTAGACTAGCCCCTCCCCGCCCACAGACTGTAGTTTGAATGTAGTAAAGGTTGAGTAAGTTCTCGTTTACTGCTAAAAGAAAGAGCTCAAATATAGTCGTTCTAAAGTGCGATTTCAGGGCCTACCAGAGAAGTATATTGATGACATCTATAGTGTTCAGAGAGTCATCTATTCTTGGTCAGTACTAACTTGAAAAATAAAGAGAGATATTGCCTAACCTAGCGAACTCCAGTAATTGTTAGCGTTTAATAGAACTTATAGTATACTACAAGATATCTTCACTTCGCATCTTCATGCCAAAGATATGTATCTATTTGATGAATTTTTAAAGTGTATTTTAGACTTTATGGATAAGATTTTATTTTGATAAATCAGTGTTGTTATACAGTAATATTAACTGATGACCACCTTTCGAGCACAAACTATTGCTGCTCATAATTATATCAAGTTACTCACACAACTTTTTCCTTCATTCATATACATGAGTGGAATTGATGATTAGACATTTGAATAAAAATCAATATGGGATAATGTACATTCAGAAATAATAATAATATCAGTGTTATCAATAAAATACAATCAGATGAGAAATAAGACGAGTGTTTTGATAGTCAAAATAAATGAGTAACTTGTTAGAATGTTGTGATGTGCTTGAATTGAAATAGAATTTTAAGATTGTTTATTATCCTCCTCTGATTTGACTGACTGGTGGTAATAATATCTTCCATATCTCTGGTATTTGCATTGAGTCATTTCTGTTGCATGTGTTGGGTGTGTACACCCGATGAACCAAGATTCAGTAATCAATCTCGCTCTCCACCTATCTAGATTACTCTTTAGAATTTTCACTCTGTCCCACCGGCCCTATTGTGGTTGCGTGTTAATGCATGCAGTGCAATTGATGAGCTATTTTTCTAAATTGCTTGTCTTCGTGGGATCAATCATTCTTACCTTAGCTAAATTCTTATGTTCCGACACCAATGGCTGGGGACAATTGGTGATATGGTTCCTAATCGTTCTCAATGGCTGGCGCAGATGCATCCACTCCTTGTGACTTATAATATCCAATGAAACTATATATATTGTTCTTCGATATTACTATTCTTTTTGCCTCATATTTCTGTTTACTGTCCCTATTCTGCGTTTATTTTTACTTTCTCTTGCTTTGTGTGCTACATTGTGGGAGTGTGGCGACTCGAACTGCTACACATCTGTGCAAAGATCTATGTTGAAACCAGACAGACAGACAAACAGTCTCCTCAGCATATGTCCAGTCCAGAATTCCTTGTTGCTTATCCTTTCCGACTGACCATTCGATCGTCAGTATCCAGGGTAGGCAGCCTGTTGGTGAAAGTCTGAAGTTACACCTATTGGAAAAATGCTTTTGGTGATTCATTAATTCGCCAACTCATACAGAATCACTGACCGACTTGACACATTAGTGTTACAAAATTGGTATCCTGTTCCTTATTCTATGTGCAGTAGATTTCTGTACTCATTTCAGAGTAATGAAGGTTTGTCACAATATGCAAATTTTTCAAGTATTGGTTTTTGTAGGGATTATTGTTTCATTGATTGGAGGATTTCATCATGAGCTGACATCAGTTAGAGGACCATTGGAAAACCACCTGGGAGTACTGGATTGCAGCTGTTTTGTCAGTCTAGTTTAGGACTCTTCATCAGTACGCACCCACATTGCGGGGTTCGAACCCAGGACCTTCTGGTTACAAGGTGAGCCAGCTCGTAGACCATTAAGCTACCGGCACCCGATCCAATGGCCAGCCCATGAATTCTAACTTCTGCCAATTCACGACATAGCGTGACCATTACTCAATGTCCTTTTCGATGAGTTACTGCCTCACCTTCAACCTGCTGCACCCTACTGGTCATTATCATTATAATGTCTTTCTTGTCTGATTCTTAGTGGATTTTTTACAATGTAATTATCTTCTTGAGTTCTTATCTTCATTGGTCCTTCCACTGACACATACACATATATATCTTTGTTTAAGTATTGGTTTGTAGGGATTTGATTGATGGGTTGGAGGATTTCATCATGAGCTGACATTGGTTAGAGAACCATTGGAAAACCCTGGGAGTACTGGACATCTGTTTCGTTTTGATGGGCCATTGGATCGAGTCTCAGTGGACTAATAGCCGACGAGCTCGCCTTTTAACCAGAAGGTCCTGGGTTCGAACCCCGGTGGGTACGTTCTGATAAAGAGTCCTAAACTAGGACGAAACAACTGTCCAGTACTCACTGGTGGTGGTTTTCCAATGCTTCTCTAACCAATGTCAGCTCATGATGAAATCCTGTAACCAGATTATCATTTCTTCCCCAAAGAGGTTATTCGATATACTACTCATATCTACTTATAGGCAGAGCACACACCAAACTCTCCCAACCTAGGATTAGTAAAAATATATTCTTGTTATAAATCAAATTATAAAGTAATTTATCTTTTTATTATTAATTCATTTATATTTTAATGTATTTTGCCTTTGTATTTCTTTCTTTTTTTTTCCAAGGCAGAACACGGACTAGAGGCTAGTAAACGTCGAGGTATAGTTGTTGGACAGGATGGTAAAGATTTGACGATACGAGTCCCTGCTGGGATAACAGTTCTATTCGGTGGTCAAGGGAATTCATCAGCTAGTAGTGGTGGTACAGAGCAAAGAATTATTGGAAATTTAGATAAACCTGGTCAAAAGTTACTTGTCGCTCAAGGTGGTCTAGGCGGTTTTCGTCAGAATAGTTATGTTGGTACACCGGGGCAAGCGCATAGTATTATACTGGACTTAAAGGTAATACACTACTGATGATGATAATTGTGGTTGATTGATTTCTGACTTAGAATTGCTGCTACTTTAACTTGGTGGTGGTCGGGCTTGTATATCGTAATGACCCGACACAAGCGAAGTACACTGGCTGGAGCTGGTGTTTCTGCAGGTCTTAACATGCCAGAAAGTTCGTTTGGATGGCGGTTAGACTAAAAGCAGTTGCTATGGCATATTATAATTCGTCTATACTGTGTTGGAGTCTTTGGGCGAAGTCGCACTGCTGCGGAATAGGGATCTAACAGCTGTGCTACCTTTCTACTCTGAGGGTGGGTTGAAAGGTGGTTCGAAAAGCTTGACTGTGGAAACTGTTTATCCTGATATTCCATGCGGCGGTCTTCAGTCAGTGGTAAGATTTGAATATGGATACAATCCCGAAAACCAACTCAAACAGGCCGTGACCATCTTTAAGCTGTTACCCCTTCTATTTTAGGTGTTATAAGAAGAAATCAACCTCTACGGTGTAGGTAGCCGGGATGTCACAACCGCCAACACACTTCCATAAGCACACATAGCTGACATAGGGTTAGGTGGAAAAGCGGTTAGTGGTGATCGGACCAAAACGTGGCGTCAGTCCATGACAGTTAGTTTAAGCTACATTGGAAGATGCAGACTTCCCGCCTACCTGGTTGGAGTCCTCGGGATGGTAAGAACCAATGGCGGCTGGAGACAATTGGTTACGTGGCTCAAAATCGTTGTCAATGGCTGGCGCTGATGCATTCACTCCTTGTGATTTGTCAAATCCAATAAAACTCTATTGTTATTCCATATTACTGTTCTTTTTACCTCACACTTCTGTGTATTATCTCTCTTTACTCTTTTCTCTTGCTTGGTGTGTGCTACAAGGAGGTAGTGTGGCAACTCGAACTGGTGCACATATGTGCAAATTTCTACGCTGAAACCAGTCAGTCAGTTAGTCACCCACCTTCATAATTCAGCTGCAATGTATCTTATGCTTTTTTTTGTAGAAATATATTCATTAGATTTTGTCGTCAACTGAACTTTATTCATTTCATATTATTAAGTAAACTAACGGCGATGTTAAAACTTCTTCTTTTTTCCCTCTGTTTGTTACTACTAATCAATTTGTGATTCCTACGATACTGTTACTAGTAATTTGTGATAACACTATGACGAATAAGGTTCATATTGTTTTTCTATCGATTTAGAAATTTTTAAGCGATTTCAGCCTGGGAGTTTTGAGTAGAATTCATTCGCAGCATCTATTGGTGTATGTATCGGTGGTTCCATTGGTAGAATGTGCCTACTAGCCAATCATGTGCTTGGGGTTCAATTCTCGGTTGATGTACTTCTAAAGTTTTCCTCGTATACTGGCCGATAGTAAACTCGGAAAAGAGGGGAGGTTCTGCTTGAGACTGGCAACTTCTCTCTGTAAAAACAACATCACCTCTACTGGAACTTTGAAGTTTGGAGCCCTATGTTCCACTCAGATCTTCTTCTTTTTCTTATTAGAACAAACACTTAGAACATTATTGACACCTAGAAAGATGTGCCACACAAAATCTCAACTTATGCGAGGGCTGAAGAGACTACTCGAATATGCAGATCGAAGCAAGTGGTTGTCTAAAGGGCTACTCCCGATCCTTTGACTTAAATTCGGATCCACAGGGCACTAAGGCCATTCGATCCTTTCGAATTCTGAAGTCCATTGTAAACCATAGGTTTAGAACCACCAGGGTTTTCCAGCCCCTCTAGAAAGATAGGACTGCATGTCTGCAAGTTCGATGGTAGGCGCCACACTTTTGAATTTCTGAGAGACATCGCCACTTGAAGACGGCGAATAGGAGTCACCATGCAGAGGTTATGTATGCGTATGGTCACATGAGGTCATTTTTAGAGGGAGACCAAAGCCTACCCACCCACCGTCGACCGCACGAGTTGGTTTGTAGAGGCTTCTGGAAGTAATATGAAATTATGAAGGCTTCTTTGAATGCTATTGTGATGATAAGTAAGTTCAGCTAATTTCATCACATCCTTCCTATAAATATTTCATTCTTTTCCTCTCTTTATTATTATTATTATTGATTTTACCAATAATTCTGGTGTCAAACTGTGTTGAATTTGTGTTTCAAAGCATTATGAAACGTATGTGATTGCTTATGTTGACCTTGATAGGTAATAGTTGTGCCCTTCCCCGAAATGAGAATTTATTTATTAATTTTTAAAATTGTATCTTATTGAGTTCCAAATGAAACAGGGGGCTTCATCCCTTAAGCTTTGAAGTTTTAGTGGTACTTGTGCTGTTTTTTACGGAGGGGAGGGGTGGTGGATAAGGTTGCTAGTTACACCACAGCCCAACCTCTCTTCTTTTCCGGACTTACTACCGTCTAGAATAGGTTTGAGTGTACGTCGACTGGGAGTCGAATCCTGGACTACTTGAGGCGTGACTGAACCACTGACTGACCTCCCATGCTTGACTACACCACCGGGGATCAGACCCAGGATCTTCATGCCACAAGGTGGGGAGCTTGTTGACCATTCAACCGCTGGGACAGAATGCAATAGCCCGTCGATTTTAGTGCCTGCCTCCAGCCAATGGCATTGGCGAATATTTGTTCGCATATCCAACTTGATGGAGGACCTCTGTGGTTACGACCTCCCAAAACTTCATCCTATAGTAGTAGTAAGCCACAAGTGAACTCTAGACTAATTTCCAAGCATTAGCTTGCAGGCATTTAATTGATTTCAAGATTGATCACAAACCTGACTACACAGTTAGAGAACCATTGAGAATCAGCAAACAGTAATGGGACAGCTGTTTCGTCTTTGTTTTGAACTCTTCAGTACGCATCCATAATCCGAACGTCAGGGATTGAATCCAAGAGGACTTTCAGGTTAAAAGTTTCTCAATGAAGTCATTTGGTGACCAAATCTCTAGAAGCGAATACTTGAAAATATCGTATTGATTCATCAGTGAGGACCCTCAGCCACAGGTTTAGAGCTTTATGCTCAGAAGTGGAAAGTGGAGATGAACTTAGCATTGTATATGACCCCCTAATTGAAAATAGCTATCCAGAAAAGTTCATCAAGAAACACATGACAAAGAAAGAAGAAATGGACTATTCTCCATCTGTAAATAAGAAGCCTTTATGTATATACGACCGCAATTCAAGGGTGATGCACCTAGTGAAATAATTCCCAACAAGTTAAGAGAATCTATTCAAAGAACTTTTAATGCTGCCAAACTACAAATCTTATTTTCTACACGACCGATGGTGATTCCTCGACTGAAAGATGAAGCAACTAGACTAACTAGCCACTTCTAATTCTATCTACCAATTCAACTGCACTGCTTTTGGTGGAGGGAGTTATATTGGCCGTTACTCTAGGAACTTGATTTTTCGTGATCACTCGGGAACATCTACCAGTGTTGTGGTTGAGTAAAGGTGTAGTAAAAGCCATCAACAGTTCGATATTAGACCACCTGGTTCAAACCGACCACAAAGCCAGCATTGTAGAGTTCTTCTCCATCATCTACCGGGCACTAAATAAATCGTCAAAGACATCCAGATACCACACACTCCAAACATCATAGGCTATCACGATTCGTGTAAAACAACCAGTGCTCTGTGCGCAAAAGAAACAGGTTCAGCGAGCCACTACTACTGCCCTGGGCGGCCTTCAGTAGAGACTGTAAATTCATGAATTTGTATTATTATTATTTTTCCTAATTTTTCTGATATTCAGTTTATTGTTATGTTGACGCTATTTATTATTATTGCTGATTCGATGTCATTTAAACAACATTAATGCTGTCAATAACATTATTTTACTTAATCTTGAACCCTCTTTAAAGCCTTTCAATGACCCCAACCAGTTTGCTTATAAACATAGTAGGTGTATCTTAGATGCCGCTATTGTTCTATATCATAACATAGTCTCTAGTTTAGATAGAGGAGCCAAATATGTTCGGTTTGTCTTCCTTGATTACACATCTGCATTTGACTCTGTACCTAGGTCTCTCTTGCTAAGTAAGCTTTCTGTAACACAGAGTGAGAGCTGGACAAATAAGTGGTTGCATTCCTATTTTTCTGATAGGAAGCAGTACACTGTCTACAATGGAAAGTCCTCCACTGCCTCACTTACATTAGCTGGTGTTCCTCAAGGTGCTGTTCTTTCTCCTTTTCTGTTTTCTTTTTTCTTACATGACTTGCTCCATTCTGATGTAGCCACTTTTGTCAAGTATGCTGATGACCTCTCTGTCTCCATGCCTGTCAACTCTCAGTCAGACTGTTCCAAATTAAATAACTTTCTGTCGGAAATTAGTCAGTGGTCCTCTTCAAACGGTCTTAAGCTGAATCCGTCTAAATGTCAGGTAGTCAATTTCACTTTCAGACGAAAACGTGTCCTACAACAACTAGCTAGGTCACATGGTCTCACCATCATTGACGGCATAGAGGTTGAAACTACATCTAATGTGAAGTACCTTGGACTGAGTATTTCCTCCGATCTTTCCTAGTCCTCTCACATCTTGTTAGTTATTAGAAAGATGTTTCGCTTAACATTCTACGTTAGGAAGTTAAGGCAGTCTGGTATAAAGCAGTCTTTGCTTTCTCAGTTTGTCAATTCTTGTATTCTAACCACCCCTCTTTACTGCTCCCCATTAATCTTTCCTGGACTACTTAAGAAAGACTTTGCTTTGCTGCGTAGGGCACTAAAAGCTGTTAGTAGGGGAAGTGGGATTTCGTTAAACCAACCGGTTAACACCATTGTGCACAGACACATAATGTCATGTAAGAAACTAGCGAATTCTATATTGTCAGACCCCGAACACCCTCTCTATACGCAGCTCTCTCCTTGCATTTCATCTAGTAGAACTAGAAGCAACTATAGGAGGCTATATGCCAGGACTACCAAGTGCACAAAAACTCCACAATACCTTATCTGGCACAGCTGTTATATGATGAGAAATCCGTTAGGTATGACACGATCAACTTACTGCGGCACTCTAACAAATAGTTCCCATTAGTTTTTGTTTTCCTTTCTTCGTTACTATTATATTGTTGTTCACGTCTTCATTTACACACTAATTTTATATTTCATATCCTATGGTGCATTGTTTAAAAATGTAAATGCAACGCTGTTCTTTTTTATTTTATTTTTTTTTTTGGTTGTTGCTTTTTGATTTTAAAATCTTGTAAAATTTATGAGGTAATTAGATGCAATATTGTAATGCACGCTGAAAATTCCATACCTGTACCACAAATACTGTTTGGAATAGAGCTATTATTATTATTATTATTATTAATTCTCATTGACTATTATGTGTATATAACTGTAGAACCTGATGAAAAGCAGGTTATCGAAAATGTGAATTTTCTTTGTCCAGCAACCATTCTTTTGAAAAATTTTAATTGTATATATATTTATTTTTTTCTCTATCTATTCTCTGTTTTAAGCTGATGGCTGACTATAGTCTTGTAGGCTTTCCAAATGCTGGGAAATCAAGCCTGCTGAAGGCGTTATCCGGTGCACCAGCTAAAATAGCCAGTTATCCATTTACTACAATTAAGCCACAGGTGGCACTTTGTAAATATCCAGATCATCGACGAATTAGTCTAGCCGATTTACCAGGTAAGTGAATCTAGTTGCACCCTCCCACTCCCCACCACCTATGAACTGTGTATTTTATTTATTGAAGTTAGTTTTGATTTCTCCGTTGATCCATTAGACTGAAATGTTCGGCGTCTCTTGATATGTCGGCAGCTCGTAGTACTAACGCTTTGAAGCGATGTGTCTAATGAGGTTTAATGTGGGTCATTGGATCGAGTGTTCCAGTGGCTGAAAAGTTGGCTAACTAGCTCAGCTTGCAACAGGAAGATCCTGGGTTCGAACTCCTGTGGTGGGGGTGAAAGTTCCAAGTGCCAGGACGTAACATCTGTTCAGTACTTTCTGGTGGTTCCCCCCTTGATCAAGTCTGTAATCGATCAAATCCTTGCAAAACAACACTTGAAGAGTGATTAACGTGGAATTATTTTGGTTGATGGCGTGCCTATAATTGGGGGGGGGGACAGAGGAAATCCATGATGCGCATTTCGTCCTCTTTGGGAATTATGGGTGGATGTGCACCGTGGTGGTGGTGGTAAGTGGTAATGCTGCTCCCACTCTGACTCAAACCATGTACCCCTTTGTTTCAAGCACCAAAACGGCTACGAGAGCCATATCTTGCCTTTTGAAACGATGAGTGCAGGGTTCGAGTCCCAGTGAGAGAACACTATCACCACTCTCTGGGTAGAATGTAAGTGTCCCAAATAGATCGAGATGTATGTCCCCTGGATTTCACCCCCCCTGCTGTTCATCATCAACCAAGTCAATTATATATTTCGTTTATTTTTAAAGTTTTGTTCAGAGTGGCTTTTTTCACTCAATCTGCTCTCCTTAGCTGTACAAAGAAGTGCGGTAGTTCAAGGTACCCCACTTTGTGCAGCGCACAAAAATTAGATTCAAAAAATAATGATAACCATAATAATAATAAGCAGGAAGGTAAGGGAGTTAGAATAGTAAGATGGACAAACTTGAGGATTTAGTGGATATGGGGGGGGGGAGGTGCGGGTCACTGAGAGACAGAGAGTGAATTCATCTGTGCGACTGAGAACGATTTCCAGCCATATCACTAATAACCTCAAGCCATTGGTTTTTAACATCTCAAGGATCCCAACCAAGCAGTTTAACCCTCCTTGCGTGGCTGGTTGTAATCAACTGTCGAAGACTTCATCAACTGATGAGAAAGGTTTGGATTCGACTGCTTATACAACACATTTTCAATGTAATCTTATGTCGAATAACATTACTCGCCGGGGAAGGTGATGACTGGGCGTGCGCAACACGTGCCTTAGCCATCTCGATCGATGTAGCTTCACAACCTTGTCGATTGGCTTGTTCTTATTGAACACTTTTCACCTAACCTCAGTGTTTTACTCATTATCTTACACCACTTAACTCGTGGGATAGGATGGCAACATCTGCGGTCAAAGACATTTAGCCTGTTTGTGGTGAGAGCTGGCTGCAAGCCAACAATTTACGCCAATGTTCACGTCCCGAATCAGGGTCATGAGAAAAAACAATAACAAAGCTTAACCTTGAGAAAATCACCAGCCAATCACAACGGAGTTAAAGTGTGGAAATATGATTCACAGATATATGGCTTGATTTTCTGAGAAACGGCCTCAAAGAGATAACAGAATAACCTTCGGCGAGAGAACAACCAATCAGAAGAGGTTGCTTCTCTGCTAACAATAACGCTAATAATAATGCATATAAAAATCTATAAATACCTCTTGATTTCTCAATAAACAATCTGTTGCCTGACCGTTGTCTTCTGTCGTTACATGTTAACGTCGACGACTTCCCATAGCTATGAAGAAGGACAGAGCAAACTACTGCCGAGTATAGACACATCCTTTGGTTGATAGACAGATATCACATATTTATCCCAGCGATGTCATAAGTTGACAATTACCACACAAGCATTTTATATCCGTGCCGAGATTTTGTCATCAACTCTTGGAGAGTAGGTGTCACTTGTATTTGATTAACTAAGCGGTTCGGCTGGGTGAAATCAATTGACGGTCGCTATGGCTCATGGATCTAGGCTCTGGATCTCTAACTACAAGGTCGCAGGTTCGAACATCTCCTGACTTACCAAGGTTTAGGTATCACACACAATAGGTGTAGCCCATAGTCAGCAGCATGGAAATACAAGTAGGTGTTGAATAACAATCAACCCGGAAAGTTAACATGAATGATTTCTAAAACAATGGTCATTGTGGATTGAATAAAAATCTCTTTTACAGTAATTTGCACATGTCCTTCAAATTAACTTGTCCAAAAATATCTATCAGTTTTATTTTATTTTGTCAAAATCACACATATGTTATACAGTAATATTTACTGATGACCACGTTTCGAGCACCAATTATTCCTGCTCATAATCATATCAAGACACTACTCACAAAATTGATGATTAGATATTTGAACTAAATCAATATAAGATAGAGTACATTCGGAAATAATAATATTAGTGTTATCAATCAAATACAATCAGATGGGAAATAAGACGAGTGTTTTTATAGTCAAAATAAGTAACTTGTTAGAATGTTTTGATGTATGTGAATTGAAGTAGAATTTTAACATTATTTATTCTCCTCCTCTGATTTGACTGGTGGTAATAGTATCTTCTATATCTCTGGTATTTGCATTGAGTCACTTCTGTTGCATGTGTTCGGTGTAGACTCGATGAACCAGGATTCAGTAAGTAATCAACCTCTTTCTCCACCTACTTATATTACTTCTTAGAATCTTAACCCTATCCCACCCTATTGTGTGGTTATGTGTTAATGCATGCAGTGCGATTGCTGAGTTCCTCTTTCTCAATTACTTATCTTCTTGGGTAAACTCAGCAATAGCGCTACATGCATTAACACACAAACACACAATAGGGCGGGTGGGACAGGGTCAAAATTCTGAACAGTAATATAGTTAGGTGGAGGGAGAGAGAGATTGATGACTGAATCCTGGTTCATCTAGTCTACACTGAATACATGCAGCAGAAGCAACTCAATGCAAATACCAGAGATATGGAAGATATTATTCCCACCAGTCAAATCAGGGAATAATAAATAATGTTAAAATATTATAAATTATTTAAATTAATCCCAGCGTGTTAAGAAAATCAAAACAAGGTTTTTTCTGAACGTTTCGCTGTGTAAGCCACAGCTTCTTCAGCAGATTTATCTGACTCGGCGCTCAAATTATTCCAGGAAGTTTGTAACACCTACGGTCTGGAAACTTATAATGTTAAAATATATTTCAATTCACACACTATTAGATTCTATCAAGTTACTTATTATGACTATAAAAAAGCTCGTCTTATTTCCCATCTGATTGTATTTGATCAATAACACTCATATTATTATTTCTGAAATAACATTATCCCATACTGATTTCTATTCAAATGTCTAATCGTCAATTCCACTCATGTATATAAGTGAAGCAAAACGTTGTGTGAGTAGTGGCCTTGATATGATTATGAGCTGTAATAAATTGTGCTCGAAAGGTGGTCATCAGTAAATATTACTGTATAACAACACTGTGTGATTTATCAAAATAAAATCTTATCCATAATGAAGTTATACTCTACCATAGTACCCAAGTTTTATCCTTATATCATTTGTTTCATCTGTCTATTTTATTTGTTTCGAGTTCGATCACGGATCGATATCAGTTAGAGAACCATTGGAAACCACGGAGTACTGTACTGGGTAGATGTTTCGTCCTAGTTCGAGACTGTTGAGCAGTACACACTGAAGACACCCCATCATGGATCCTATTTGTCGTATGGGTAGTAGACTTTTCCAGATATCGGGGACAGGTGTTGAATCATTCCTATTACATGTATTTGCAGTTGATTTGATAAACAAAGCTTCCGTTATCAATCAATCTCTCCACCCTGTGACATTAGATTTTAAAACTGTCATCCTATCCCATTCTATTGGATGGTTGTGTGTAATTGCATGTAGTACTATAGCTCAACTATTCTCTAGATTTCTTATCTTATTTGGATCAACCAATCTAGATTTCGCTAAGTTTTTATGTTCAGCTAGTCTGACTGCATCTGTTCTACTAGTTTATCATTAATAATAATAGTGATAATAGTAATAATATTAATGACGACACCAATAATAAGGAATCTAAATCATCAGTAGTAATTCCATACAAGGAAGGAACCTTGGAAAACTTACGTAGAATTCTTAACAATGCTGGCAGGAATAAAAGTGACTGGCATTCAAACCCACAAACTCAATTAGAAAAGAGCTTTGTCGGTTAAAGGATCAATCCTGTGGAGCCTTTAAAACAAAACAATGTAGTTTATCTAATACCCTGCTGGAATGTTTGTCAGGTCAAATACATAGGTCAAACTAGTAGAACAGATGCAGTCAGACTAGCTGAACATAAAAACTTAGCGAAATCTAGATTGGTTGATCCAAATAAGATAAGAAATCTAGAGAATAGTTGAGCTATAGTACTACATGCAATTACACACAACCATCCAATAGAATGGGATAGGATGACAGTTTTAAAATCTAATGTCACAGGGTGGAGAGATTGATTGATAACGGAAGCTTTGTTTATCAAATCAACTGCAAATACATGTAATAGGAATGATTCAACACCTGTCCCCGATATCTGGAAAAGTCTACTACCCATACGACAAATAGGAGAAAACAAAGAAAACTATAAAACTCAAGTGTCAAAGTCGTGTGATTATAATTGATGATATGATTATGAACAATAAATTTTGTTCGAAACGTCATCCAGTAAATAATACTGTTTCATTCACTGTGTGATGTATGTAATAAACAAACTAATATGGAATTACTTACTACCACAGTGCCCAAGTTTTACACATATATTAATACGTTTCTTTGAAGGTCAGACCATATATCTGCGAATCGTATCCACCCACGCAAAGTCTGCTGTGATTGGTCGTTAAGTTCCTCAAGATTAGACTTTGTTCGTGTTTTCTCTCATGACCCCGATTCAGGGCGTAAACATTGGCGTAAATCGCTTTCTACCAATTTTGGCTAGCAGACAGCTCTCACCACATTACTACTGGTGCGTACCTCTGAAGAGTTCCGAGCTACATTGAAACAGCTATCCAGTACTTACTGATTTTCAACCGATAACAATCCGTGATTAAATTTAAACCCAATCAAATACCTATTAATCAATACTTGAAAATATTTATTGATTTATTTTTCTATAGGTCTTGCTGATATCTACGCTCGTTACGATGCCAGTGATGATAACGATAATGACGATAATACATCAGTTAATTCCCAATCGTCGAATACATCACGGACTTCTCTGCCTAGTCTACGGCATACAAACTTTTTAAAGCATGTTGAGCGTAGTTCTTGCATTCTACTTGTCTTAGATTCACTTGGTTTCTGTAAAGATCAATTTAGTCATCGGAGAAATGCATTAGCTGTTGCCTATCTAGTATTAAATCAAATGGAACGATGGTCTAATGGCCTATTGCTTGAAAAACCAATGGCTTGTATATTAAACAAGGTAAGCTGCCTTTTTTTATTGAATTATATAACGCATGTTTACTAAGACGTAGTATTCCCTTAGGTTCCAAGTGGAACATAGGCTTTCTTTAACAGCACAACTCCGTTTCATCCTCTTCTCTGCAATCCTTCTTAGCTGGCTGTAAAATTGCCCATAAACTTTTATCTCCTTCTTTCTCCATTCAACCCTCGGACTATTGCTTAACTCGTTACTTTTCATTCAAAGATCTGGCGTGGAGTGTGTTAACACCTTGAGCAGCAATCTTCGTATGTTTGGCATGCGATTCGCCCCTGAAAAATGTAAGATGCTGCTACAGGACTGGACTACGTCAACTTCTAGCTTAGTGATAGGGAGTGAAGTGATAGAACATGTTGACCACTTCACCTACTTGGGAAGTTGTATCAGCACCAACGGATTGATTGGTGACGAAATCTCAGCACGGATCCAAAAAGCTCGGGCTGCTTTCGCTAACTTCCACCATCTCTGGCGTAGGCGTGACATCCGACTATCAACCAAGGGACATGTGTACTACTCAGCAGTTCGCTCCATCCTTCTCTATGGCTCTGAAACATGGCCAATACGAGTTGAAGACATGAAAAGGTTGACTGTTTTTGATCATAGATATTTACGATCTCTTTCTCACGTTAGGTGGTATACTAAGGTAAGTAATGTTGACGTTAGGTTAGGCGTAGAGTGTTGGGCAAAGAGGGAAAATCAATCGAAGAGGCTATAAAGTTACATAGATTGACATGGCTAGGTCACGTGCTGCGGCGCATGCCTAACCATCGCCTCCCCCGACGGACGGGCATTACTAGCTGATATAGGTGCAGGTTGGAAAAGAGTAAGTGGTTGCCAAACAAAAACATGGCATCAATCCATGAAATCCGTGACAGTTAAACTGAGTCAGGTAGGGAGATGCAAACCTCCGGGTTGGGGCCCTCGGGACTCTAAGAATCAATGGCTGGAGACAATAGGTGACATGGCTCAAAATCGTTGTCAATGGCTTACGCAGATGTATTCAGTCTCTTTAACCTTCATATTCCTTTCTACCATTACTCATTCTGTTTCACTCTTATACTCGTCAAAACTATTGCTTCTCTTCACTCATCTTCTTGTGTACCTTTGTGTGCTATTTGGAACGTGGCAACTTGAACTGCTGCACTTGGGTGCCAAGTTCTACGTTGAATCCAAGCAGACAGACAGACGTGCAATGTCACTCTAACGGTCTCCTCAACATGTATCAGATCCATCTTCATTTCCATCAGACTATTTCATTGAATGATAGGTTCTTGGTTGGTTTGCTGCTAGAGTTCCTTGTTGCCAGGTAATTCTTTCTGACTGGCCAGCCATCTGATCTTCAGTATGCAGCCGGCGAAGGCAGTTGTTGATTAAAGTCTGCAGTGGCTTGTTAGAAATGTTTTTGTTGACGTACCGAGTGTATCTGAACCATATAGAATCACTGGCTGACTTGACATTAGTGTTGACGATCTGGATCTTGGCGTAGGCTCACACTGATCTCAGAGTAATGCAGGTCTGTCTTACCCTTCCGATTGTGACTTTGACATCATCTGTTCCGCCACCTCTAGTTGAAACGCGATGTTTCCTAGGTCAGGTTGGTGAGAGAGGTGACTTTTTTCAAATTTATTCCGTTGATGGCGTCTGTTGTTACTGCTGTTGGTGGTGGTGATGGTGGTTAGATATTTTCATCATCTCTGTCTTCTTTTCAAAAATTTAAAACAATTAGTCCCTTTTATAAATTTTGATAGCGTTATTAGAAGACGGAGATTATCTGAAAAGCAATGCGATGTATTTGCGCTATAAATTTCGAACAATCTGATCCCTCACACATTCAATTGTCAAATCAATATATATGGAAAAGTTGAATTTAACAAAGTGACAAAAAAGGATTTAAGAATGATTAACACAACGTTCGGTAATCCAATCAAATAAGGATTACCAAGGTAGGTTTAGAGTAATAACAAACTGTTTTTGAATACACAAGGGGGGCTTAAGTTTATGAATGGCTATGGCCTCAGAGTATTTCAGTAAACGCCGTTGACCGTTTTTATAGATGACCTTAAAGGCTGAGTTAACATCAACCTTATGGTTCATCTCGATTAGATGTTTAGCTATAGACGAAGTTGGTAGTCTGACACCTGCATCTATTGGCTTGTCACAATTCATCTGTTTTTCTAACCATTTTGGGATATGCTCTCCCACCCTCACGTGCAAAGCGTGATTACTCCTCCCTATGTATGTGTGTCCACACACACACATACACGAAAATTGATAAATTGTGTGGGATGTGATATAATCACTTGTGCACTTTTGAGGTTTGCAGTGAAGCATATTTTTAGCTTTTTCCACAATTACAAGCTGGGCTGCATATATTGACTTGACAAGTAAATGTGTGATCAGATTGTTCGAAATGTATAGCGCAAATACATCCCACATTTTTCAGATAATCTCCGTCTTTTAATAACGCTACCGAAATCTCTGTCTTCTCTGTGTTCACTTGAAGTCCTGTTTCCTCTGCCTCTTCTCCTGACTTGTTGTAGATCTTTGAGTTTTGGTGACATTAGTCATCCGTGAAGTCTAGATTTTCCAGCGTTTTTTGTCGTCAGTCAAACGTGTTCCTGTCTTCTGGCTCTCCACAGTCTGATGTATGATCGAGTCCACCACAGTCAGGAATATCGTCGGTGATAGTAGACAGCTTTATGTGATTCATACTATAAAAATTGAGATTTGTATTTCTGAATGAATGAGAAAATAAAACGATATTATTGTGTTTTTACTGACGTTTCACTATTCAGTGTCGCTAACAGCTTCACTAAAGTCGTAATATTAAACCAGAATTTACAGGAAATTGAACCTTGGACTACATGCGTGGCTGGCAGGCGTTCTACTCCTGAATCACTGACGCACAAGTATCGTATATCCAATGCCAAAATCCGAACTTGGTTCGACTGTGTATATGCTTGTGTTTTACATTGATATACTTATGACTGAGCTTGGAACTTATAACGCTGATGGCTTTTCATGAACTTCTTTGCCATTCTAACGATATACGTCATCATCATCATCATAACCATTAGATCAAAATTAAGCATCACCCCACAATAGGGATAACTTATATCAAAAGACCGCGTCAGGCCCTCGAGTGGAACCCGAAAGGGAAGCGGCGAGTGGGACGTCCAAGGGTGACATGGAGGAGATCGTGTGAAGAGGAGCTGAAACAGTGTGGACTAACATGGATGCAAGTGAAAAGTACAGCAGAAGACAGAAACAAGTGGAGACGTGCAGTTGAAGCCCTATGTTCCACTAGGAACCCAAGGGAATAATAATAATAATGCAATAATAATAATGTCAGAAGACTCCTATATCATTTGCTGCTATAACTATCTACATCGAGGTAGAAATCTTTCTAGATTACCTTCTTGGCTTTCTTCTCAACGTGGATGTGATTAGTGCTCTGTTTGCATAATATTGTTGAACCATTCATCATGTTTTTGATGCCTGAAATGTTGTAACTGAACAATGGTTCAGAGAAGAATAGCAAAGGAAACATTCATGTCAGATAAGGTGGCCTTGTGTAATTTTGTGTTACGTTTTTGATGTGGTTGTGTTCCCTGAGTTGGATGGTTGGTTTTTTGCGAAGCTTTCATTGTCCCACCACTAGGCAACATTTTCAGCGCATACTTCAATTTCAGTTGAAGTGAGCTTTTAGATTTCTCCACGAGTTCACTATTAGTCATCTTTCCTAGTGGGTGACCAAGAATGTGATTGGTTGTTTTTGTGTGTTTTCACACACTCCAGGCTACGCTTGTATTGATGCTGATTGTTTCTTTGACTTGAACTTTGATCCTTTGTGTGTGTGTGTGAGGTTTCCTTCTTATCGACTGGTAAATCTTGTCCATCTCGATGTGTCTATTGATTGACGATTCACTGGAATACCAGTCAGGCTTCTAACAATTCTCTAGCATTCTTGGTGTTTCCTCTGTCTAATATTTGAACACTGGTTGTCCCAGTTGAATTGATGTCCGTGGTTGTCTGTATGCAGTGAGGCGATATGAGTGAGGGAGTGGATGTCATGTCCTTTGATGGCTAGTTTATGATCATGGATGTGAAGACGAATGTAGTGTTTTTCACAGTCGTTGCAATTTATATATTTTGTAGATTTTTTGGCTTTATCTTCTTTCTTTGTTGAGTCTTTTGGTTGACATAGAACTGAGTGAAGTGATTTTGTTGGTTTGTGTGTGTGTGTGACGTCGATTCCTAAAGGTTTGAAGGGTCTTGCAGTCATTTCTGTGTTTTTCTTTTTTAATATGGTAGGGCGATTTTCTTTGTGGTTTCCTTAAGAGCCTTTGATTTGGTAGGTTGGCTTGTGGTTAGATGTCTTTTGATGAAATTTCGTGGATATCCATTCTTTTGGAAGACTTCCATGAGATATCCTTCCTCAGTTTTTTCTTTGAGGTAGGTAAGAGTGCTGCAATGACTTTTGACCCTCTTGAATAGTGTTTGTATACAATTCCTTTTTTGTGTTATTGGATTGTTGCTGTTGTAATTGAGTATTTAGTTCGTGTGAGTTGATGTTACGTGCTTAGACGAATATTGTAATTATGATATCCGATGTGTTACGTTTTGGCTGTATTAAATGTGTGATATAAACTTCTTCACACAGCTGAAGTAGTATCTGCTGTGCGAATATATCACCTCGTGATAGCTTTTATCTGCATAACCTTACTGTTTTAATGGTAAATACGAGTAATGAGATAGCATGCCGTAACGATGATGCTAACTGCAGCGGCACAAACCGTTACTATGTTTGTGGTGAGAGCTGTCTGCAAGCCAAAACTGGTAGACAACAATTAACATCAATGTTTACGTCCCCAATTGGGGGTCATAAGAAAAAATAATAACGAAGCTTAACCTTGAGGAACTCAACAACCAATCACAGCAAACTTAACGTGTGCAGATACCATTCGCAGATGTATAGATAACCTTGTTAGCAATAGTCACAAGCAGTACAGAATAACCTTCAGCAAGAAAACAACCAATCAGAAGATGTTGCTTCTTCACTGACAATAATGTACATAAAAATCTATAAATATCTGTTGATTTTCTCAATAAACGATCTGTTGCCTTGCCCTTGTCTTCTGTCGTTACATGTTCATGTAATGATACAAGTAATATGGGAAAACATTTGTACGGGATAATTATTTCGACGCACACAGATGAGGATGTCTTCTCTTGCTTTGTGTGTGCTACATAGAGGGAATGTAGCAACTCGAACTGGTGCACTTCAGTGCAAAGTTCTCTATGTTGAAACCAGTCAGTCATTGAAACGAAAGTGTGACGAGTTTGTTTTGCAGCAGCTTATTTCTTCATTCATGCCAGTTGAATTGTTGAAGCCCCACCCCACCCACCCCATATTTCATACTATTTTTTTAAATATTTTTCTATCCCCCACTCATTTCCCACATCTAGATTGATAATCCAGGTGCAATGGATGAAGCCTTAGAGACTAAACATTACCTTGAATGTATGGATTCCCCAGAGGCGAAAAAGTATTCACAATTACCACCTCAATTGTTACCGAGAATCACACCGAAATTCCATTCAATTGAATTAGTGTCTGCTCTACGTCATACAAATATACCAGGTAAATTAATCATGCTAAGAAGTATTAGTAATAATAATAATAATAATATTTACATTGACTCTTAATCAAGTGTTTTCTGACCTTCATTATTATAAAAGTTCTTTTTGTGTTTCCCAATGAATGAAAAACAAAACGATATTATTGTGTTTGCACTGAAGTTTCGCTATTTGAAATGCTGCTGCTAATAGCTTTATCAAAGTAGTATTATCAAACCAGAATTTACAAAATCCACTCAGCCTATATATAACAACTTAATCATCGTTCCTCAGCATGCGGTCATTTCTTCGTTGTCAAGTTAGCCGATCGGTAAAGATAACAAAATCAGGTGTGGATTGTTGGATTTGATAAGCGTGTAAAATTATAAAAGCAGCGTGTGTTTGGATGATGAAATTGCTGATCACATTCGTGTTGATTTTGTGATTTCATGATGGAGGGGAGGGGGGTGTTGTAACCAGGTCAAATTCTCTTATAGTCCATCATTCTTATTCAGACAATTTGGATTCCATTTGATGATATGAAGGCCTTCTGATGATATTAGATGTTCTTTGTGATTTCTGAAATGCTTTTTCTGGATTATTTCAGTATTGTAAAAAATCAATTTTGTGACCTGATGGCTGGCTGATGGTTTTTCAAGCTTTTCTAGTTCACTAACTGGATTTCTTGGTGGTTTTGGTTGAACATATACTCTAGGTTGTTCATTTCTTCTGATTTTGATTTCTGTGCGACGATTTTTGTCCGATGTAGTATATCGCATCACATTCCAAACATTTTATTTTGTAGACACAATCAGATAGAGAATCTTTAGGGATTTGGTATTTTACATGGACAAGGTTACTTTGTAGTGTGTTTGGTTTTTTCAAGAAAACTCTGGTGTTGTGCTTATTGAGTACTCTTCTGATGTCGTCTAACGTCTCTGCTCTGTATGGAATGACAACTGTTGAGGCCCATGCCTTCGGAATACGTTTTCGACCATACTTAATGTCAGTGTTGATTTTGTTGATAAAGTTACTTGGGTAGTTGTTTTGCTTGAGAGTTTCATTCAGTAATGTTTGATATTTCCTCTTCTTTTTCCTTCTCATTCTTTAACGTCAAAAACCGCGCTCGTCTAAGAAGACTTGAAACAACTGATACCTTCGCACTGATGGGGTGTGATGATCCGAAGTCTAAATATTTATTGGAGTAGGCTTTCTTCCTGAATATAGATATACTAAAATGTCCGTTTTCCACCCTCTCAAGTAGGCAGTTTAGAAATGGGAGTTCACCAATGTCTGATTCTGCTTCCGAAGTAAACTAGATTCTAGGAGATTCTTCAAGAATGAACTGTATAGATCTCACTTTAGCACTGCAAAAGTATCATCTACATATCTTAACCATATTTTAAGCGTGAGTATGCTTGAAAGTGGATTATCTTCGAATGTATTCACAAAAATATCAGCGATTGTTGGGGAAACTGGTGAATTCATAGCAAGACCATTTATCCGTCTATATATAAATTCCCTTTGAATGTAAAATAATTACCTTCCAGACAGAATTTTAAGCTCTTAATTATTTCACTGGTGTCCAATGGACATCTTTGCAATAAGGTTGTATCTGATTCTAGTAAACTCAAAGTGTTTTCTGATCTCTTCATCATTGATAATACATTTTAGTATTTCATTTTTTTGCTTTGTTACGTTAGCATTTCATTTTCTCGATGATTGATTGATTGTGTTGGACTGAAATGATCAATGGTCTTCTCTGTTGACACGTCACGGTCGTCATACGAACGCTTCCACCTTGTATCTGAGGAGGATTAATGTGAAGTTATTGTTTTTTGGTTGATTGTGACTAGCGATGAAGATGGATGCCGTGACACACACACATACACACATATATCGTTCATTTTGAAATACTCGTACACCTACATTCCAAGTGCCAGTGGTAATAATGCTGTCCCCAAATAAAACTCATCAACCTTATAGCCATCGCTAGCTGGGCTCTTGCAATCTAGTGGATAATCCATTGGCGTTTGTAACGGTAGATGTAGGGTTCGAGTCTCTGTGTGTGTGGTGGTTGGCGGGGGGAGTGAGGGGAACACCATCATCACTTACTGGGAATACAGGTGCATCCAATCGAATGCAAATATCTATGGTCAAAGACAGCTAGCTAGCCTTTTCATATATCTCCCAATTTTAATAGCAGTGTCTCACAACCAGCCACAAAGAAGGACGAGACGGAGTACTGCACGGTACGTACTGAGACTTGAAGCCAGCCTTTTTTCATCCCAAATGATGAAATGTCCGTAGTAGAAGCCGTGGTCATATCAGCAGGTATTGGAGATTTCGGTCTAAAGTAATCAATCAACAGAAAATACAAAACTAATTTAAACTGATAATAACAATCATGCTTTTTAAAAAATTTGATTGTGTACCCTGAGCTAACTGATTTCATTGCGGAGCTTTCATTGCCTTTCTAGACAGCATCTTCAGAGCAAGCTTTAATATGAAGTGGATACTTGGATTCTCTATGTATGAGGATATAATTGTATCTCCTGACAAAATTTGTCGTGCATGATTGGTTGTTAATTTACACCCTCACATTGGCCATTTTTATTGACTTAGAATTCTGAACTTTCGTGTCATGTGATTTAGTTTTTCGTTTCAGGATTTCATCATGAGCTGTAACATCGGTTAGGGAACCAGTGGAAAACCTGATCGGGTATGAGGATAAATACTCTCCAAGGATGGATGACATTGGCTAAGTGATCGTGCTATATCGTGAATTGGCAGATGTTGGAATTCATGCACTGTCCATTGAATCTGGTCCTAGTGGCTGAATGGTCTACGAACTCGGCTTGTAACCGGAAGGTGGCTCTAATTTCGAAACCCTTGTGTTGGGTGTGTACTGATGAAGAGTTCCAAACTAGGCTGACGAAACAGCTGTCCATTACTCCTCTGATGGTTTTTCAATGGTCGTCTAACCGATGTTATAGCTCATGATGAAATCCTGAAAATCTTGAAAAAATAAATCTCATGACAAGAAAGGTCAAATTCAAAGTCAATAAAAATGGTCATTGTGAAGATGTAGATTAACAACCAATCACGCACAACAAATGTTGTCAGGAGATACAAGCACAGAATTCATATCGAAGCTTGCTCTGAAGATGTCGTCTAGATAGAAAGGCAATGAAAGCCTTGCAATTAAATCAATTAGCTCAGGGGAACACAATCAAATTTTAAAAAGCATGATTGTTATTATTAGTTTAAATTAATTTTGTATTTTCTGTTGATTGATTATATTAGACCGAAATCTCCAGTACCTGCTGATATGTCACAACTTCTACTACGGACATTTTATCATTTGGGACGAAAAGGGGCTGGTTTCCAGTTTCAGTATGTATCGTGCAGTATTCCGTTTTGTCTTTCGTTATGGCTGTTTGTGAGACATTGCTATTAAAATTGGAAGATATGAAAAGACTAGCTGTCTTTGACCATAGATATTTGCATTCTATTGGATTTACCTGTATTCACAGTAAGTGGTGATGGTGTTCCCCTCACCCCCCCCAACCACCACCACACACACAGAGACGTGAACCCTGCATCCACCGTTACAAACGCCAACGGATTATCCATTAGACTGCAAGAGCCCAGCTAGCGATGGGTATAAGGTTGAAGAATCAATTGGGGACAGCATTATTACCACTCAAACTTGGATTGTAGGTGTACGAGTGTCTCATAATGAACGGAATGTGTGTACGTGTGTGTGTGTGTGTGTCGCGTCATCCATCATCATCGCTAATCACAACCAACCAAAAATAAAACTTCATATTAATCCTCCTCAGACACAAGTTGGAAGTGTTCGTATTAGGACCGTGACATGTCAACAGAAAAGACCATCGATCATTTCAGTCCAACACAACCAATCAATCACTGAGGAAATGAAATGCTAACGTTACAAAGCAAAAAAAAAATCAAATACTAAAATGTATTATCAATGATGAAGAGATCAGAAAACATTTTGAGTTTATTAGAATCAGATACAACCCTATTGCAAGATGTCCATTGGACACCAGTGGAATAATTAAGAGCTGAAAGTTCTGTCTGGAAAGTGATTATTTTACATTAAAAAGGGATTTTTATAGATAGACAGATGGTGTTGCTATGGGTTCACCAGTTTCCTCAAAAGTCACTTATGTTTTTATGAACAGATTTGAGGATAATATTTTTCCAAGCATACTTACGCCTAAAATATGGCTACCTTGATGATACTTTTGTAGTGCTAAAACGAGATATACACAATTCATTTTTGGAAAATATAAGCAATCTCAAGCAAAACAACTACCCAAAGAACTTCATCAACAAAATCAACACAGACATTAAGTATGGTTGAAAATGTATTCCAAAAACATGAGCCTCAACAGTTTTCATTCCATATAGAGCGGAGACGTCAGACGATATCAGAAGAGCAGTACTCAATAAGTTCGACATCAGAGTTTTCTTTAAAACATCAGACATACACTTGCTGCTGTCATAATTTTATACGGTTATCAAACCCAACAATCTACACTTGGTTTTGTTATCTTCACCAATTGGCCAACTTGACAACAACGCAAAAATGACCCCATGCTGATGAATGATGATTTAGCTGTTATATATAATTGTCTCCATCCATCAATTCTCACCATCCCAAAAACCGCAACCAAAAAGTCCACCAGTAGCTACCTCTTTTCCAACGTGATCCACCCTATGTCAGTCAGCTAACATTTCCAATCGAGGAAGGTTATGGCTAGGATAGGCATACGTAACACATATTCTAACCATCTCGAGTGATTTCGCATCATTACACCATCGATCCACTTTCTCTCCCTACCTAACACTCCACTCTCTAACCTCAATATTACTCATCCTGTTCTGAAAACCATCTAAAAAGGGAAAGAGAACGGAGACACCTATGATCAATGACAACTAACCGCCTTTTTATGCCTTCCAATTTCACAATGACGATGTCTCACAGCGACGATAAACGAGGACAGAATAAACTGCTGCTGTACAGTACATACGTCATTTGATCGATAGCTAGCTGTACATCAGGTCCACGTCAGTGATCACGCAATTCGGCACAAAAATTCCACATTTATTCCCCTTAATGAATTTGAACAAAGCAAGAACTACAGTGGTTTTGCAGAATAAAATGGTACCATCATTGTTTATTTCGTTGCCTTCTCGTCAGCTGCTTACAGGCCAAAGACATTATTCAATATATCTACAAAAACAATTTTAACATACTTGCACACAGAGTTCATTTTTAAACAAAAATTAATCGATCATATATGCATACAGTAATAATATATACATATATATGTAACACTAAACACTATTCGGATCAATAATGATCATGCACAATGGAAACTTTCGACATTACGTAATCAGATGAAGGAGAGGTGAAAATATCCAGTTACCAGTCAGGGCAAAGAAAAACTGATAACCGCTTCTTTCTGAACGCCTAAATCAGGTTTCAGGCGCTTGATAGAAATGGCTTCAGCAAACTTGAGAAGAATTGAACTCTTTTGCCTATTGGTGATAATTTTGAACGACTTTTCAACGTCCACCTCATGACCGACCCGTGTCAAGGAGATGCCTGGCGATGGCACTACTGAAAGCATTTGTTCCCTTTAGACATAAGCTTTTTGGTACATGTTCAGAAAATCGTAGATGTACCCTTCTTCTTTATATCCTTCCAATGTAACTGCTCCCCGCAGCTGACGAGAAGGGAACGAAATAGAAGATAGTACCACTTTATTCTGCAAAAACTGTATTTCTTGCTTTGTACAAATCCCACACCTCACCCCACCCAAAAGAAAAGAAAACATATCACTACTAACCTAGTGGACAACACAGTTGACTTTTCATTTTCCCCTCTCTTTTTTTCTCCTCTTCATGTTTTAGAATTAAAAGAAAAGCTACGTAATTGGTTAGATGAAATTGAACTTAGAAAATGGAAAAATGATATCAGTCTACAGAGTAAAACTCAACAAGAGAAAGAAAGAAAATCACTCAAGGATATACAACCAACTTATTACTGAACGATACTCATTTATTGATTTATTCATTCAATCATTTTGTGATATACTACTGTCAATATTATTATTACTATTGTTATTATTATTATTAATACTTTTATATTAGTTTAAATCTTAGATGATTGTTGTACATTACTTGTATTGATTGATGACTAGTGTTTTGTTAATAATAATCATAATAATAACAATAATAAATGGAGGAAAACGAGTAGTATTCATTGAATGGATAATTACTATTTGAATATATATTCGGATATAGTTTATTAGATATGTATATAAGCTTAGATATCGTCAAGAACCGAAATCAGTTAGAGGGATCATTGAAACAACTAGGGAGCACTGGGCAGCCAGTCGCTGTGTCCGTCTAGGTTTAGGAGTCTTGAACACTATGCACACACCCGTGACATCATCTATTAGGGATCGCACCTGGGAGCTTTAGGTTACGAGACCAAACTCGTTTTCACCATTTGGAATGTTATGACCGAGGTCCCAGTGACTGAATCGTCTACGAGCTTTCCTTGTAACCGTAGGGTCCTGGGTTCGAACCTGGCGGTGGGTGAGTACTGATAAGGGGTCCCAAACTAGGTTGACGAAACAGTTGTCCAGTACTCCGTGGTAGTTTCCCAACAGTTCTCTAGCTGATGTCAAGCATGTAACCAATCGAATCCCTACAAACCAACACTTACTCTGGCAATTCATGTGATATATATAGCCCTACTGTCAACCAATAATGCCTAGGATTAGTATCCACCTAATGGTAATAATAATGGCTTATCAGCATGTAGTACAACATCGCATCTAATATTCTGTTCACATAGTTGGTGGCACAGCGGTTAGGATGTTTGCCGACTATGCACATGGTTGGGGATTCGATCCTCGGTCGACGCACACCTGATATGAATGGTTGGCCTGCTAAATCTGGGCTACCGATGTCGCGTTCTGAAAATTCCATAGCTGTCCCAAAATACGGTGTGCAATCAAGCTATAATCAGGAATATTAATAGAGAGGAATAATTATACAGGGTAATTGATAATATTGTTCCATAAAAATATGAGTATAAAATTTTAATTTAAGCGGAAATATTAAAAACATTGTATTACTTTAAAAAATAAAAAAGGGCAGTTTACTTAGTGTTTCGCAGTAAGTTATTAATGTCATGGCTTACACTTTTCTCATTACATAAGATGCTTCACAGCCAAATAATGTCTAGAGGTTGAGGGTACTAACGTTCACGATAGTACGAAGGATGCTAATGTAAGATTTAATACCCACAACCGCTATAGTATTCGTTCCGCCCAAACCAAAAGCAAAGCAGGCGTTACTGGAGATCTATTTTTCAATTGGAACCAAAGAGAACAATAATATAATATCAAGGTACGCAGTAACGCACGCACATATACATGTAAACTGGGGCATAATATAGGATCTGACATAATTACTTGTGTAATTTTGAGGCTTGCAGTAGAGGATGTTTTCAACTTTTACAAGAATTGTATGCTAGATTGCATAGTAAATTTTGCAGGTACTTGAATTTCAACAGTTTTCTCCCGATTAACTATTATGTGGAATTGTTCAAGACTGCCTTTACGGTCTATGTACTCCACTCAGAAAATAATGGAAGAATTTCTGATTTCCAAAAGCAATAAAATACCTCTGTCACCCTCAGGGATTCATTAACGGGTACATAAGATGTGAAGGCTCAACTGCCAAACAAATTACAATGCAAAAGAAACCTACCTTCGTTCAGCTTGACTTTAAAGGTGATTGTACTACAGAGTTCGTCAACAGGAGGTTGAATATCTCACTAGATAGAACCTATCCTGCAGCTAAATTAGTTGCCACCCATCCAACAACATATCCTTTGGTGCTATCAAAGGTTGATGGATGCCCTTCTTATGGCAGATGTCTAGTGCCCCTTCATTCAGCCTGAATGTACGCTTATAAAACTAACTCATGTACGCATATCATACGCTTACAGAAACTAACTTTACAGGTGCTTGTCGAATATTTGTCATTGCATGACTGAACACTGCCTTTCGTTTGTTACATATATATTTTACGTGGCTGTGCACCTTTGTGTTCACCTCACGCTTTTTTAAATTTGATTTTGTCAACAATGCAGCTTCTCACTTTTGATTCTTAATACAAATTTGTTCTTCTCCGATCGTGTACAGCGTTAGTACATAGAACGTGAAAGCGTGGATGTACTACTGTATCCAAAAATAAAATTATGAAAAGTACACCATAGGTGTAACTGTGTTCACATGCATAGCAGTTAAATTGGGAGGACTGAAAGTAGGGTACACTTCCGATTTCCTGAACATGTGCCGAAAAGCTTATGTCTCAAGGGATAAACGCCTTAAAAATGCCTTCGTAAAGCGTCGCCATGATACGGGTTGCACTATGAAATCCTTAAAAATCACCAACTGATAATATAGCTGAATTCTCCTGAAGTGTTTCGAGGCAGCATCTATCGAAAGCCTGAAACTGAATTTATTTGGTCAGAAAGAGGCGGCAACCTTTCCTTGCCCTGATAACGAAATATCTTCACTCTCTCCTTCATTTAATCACGTAGTCTTTGGTTTTAACCTCTCCACCCTTTTATAGAGTGTAAGTTTGCCTATCTTTTGTTTCTGTGATTTGAGTTGAGCTCACCACGTCGCTGCCCAACTGATTAGTTACTCGTCATCTGGCCCATCTATTGCCTTAACTGTATAACTCTCCTGTAATCGTATTCAAACTTTTTTTGCATTAACCTGAACATTTTGTGCATAGTCTACATAAGTGTAATTTTTGAGCACTGTTTGTTAATTCGGGAATCTTCTGTAAGCCAATTTTGTGTCACAGCACGCGCAAGTAAGCTGAAATTGCTCAGCTTACAAAATTGATTAATTTCCTTTTAAGGCTGCGTGCAGCTAATGAGAAGCTGGCATAATAAACGACAGTACCACATGTCATTCTGCAAAAATCATTGTTTTCTTACTTCCACTTCAAAATATCCGTTGAAGCAATAAAGTGTAGACAATATGGGATTACATACATACATGGGATTAGCCCGACAGGAATATGCTTTCTCCCGGCAGAATTTTGGCAATGAATAATATAGATTTTTGGGAATGGCAGTGTGTGGAATGTGTGATGGCAACACTGAATTACAAACATCATGGAGAGCAAGTAGTTATTTATCGCATATTTGAGGGTGTTCGAGAAGCTTTGGCAGCTGACTTAACAACGAGAACACTAAATGAACAGCAACATGCATGAGGAAGAATAAACTGCTTGATACTACACTAGCAGGCATTTGGAAACCACTTAAGTAGGCCGAGATCAGTATGTTAGGAAAAAGGCCATAGTATTTATAATGTTGAGAGTGGTAAAAAAATCAAAATATAATGAACGTAATTATGTAATAAGTTGAAGGAACTGTTACTAGCGTACACTGTGATAATACACTGTGATCGTACTATATTCCGCGAAACATCAAGTTGAAATAGGGACACCAAACTGGTAACGCGCGCGCTCCTTGAATACGACGTGCATTTTCCTCTCTAAGAGGAAATATCCACTTGTGTGAATAATTCGTTTGGGAAACCTGATCTTCCTATCCGGCGAATTTTATTCAACCATTTCTTCTTCACCGAGCCTGTGTTTGGTACTTCCCACTGTCTCGAACTACTGCCTAAGCTTCAGGTGCTACTTCTGTAGCAACATCCCCCTCACTCTTTCAAATATACAGGACTTCTTGATCTGTTACGTGATTGTTGTGAAGCCGAATAACCCGAAAGTTACAGGTAAAGTCAAAAGCTTTTACTTATATACTTTATCTTTCTGTTATGTGCTTTCTACTGTCTTTTGCTGTCAGTCTATTGGAGAAAACTCCACTGTCTCTTATTATTTAATCGTCGGTATTAATTTAGGAGTAATATGACTATAGATTCTCACCCTAAGATAAGTAATGGGAGACCATACACCGTAATCACCAGGGCTTCAGCCAAATTAGGCAAACAGGTGAAGGTGATGGAATCTTGCATACCGGTCTTGAAGACCAGAGTAAATATTCCCTGCGTGGACAGATTGCCCATGTCGCCGCAGTCCTACAGTGAAACTGTGACAAGTCAACTAAGCGGATGTGGCTCCATCGCCGTTAACACGACTAGGTTAATAGAGCCGAGTGGTAAATCTGCACAAAGTGAGAATAGTATAACACCCATATCCACAGTAGGCCCTGAAACAAACAGGAAGGCCAATAAGAAACGTTCACGACGTCGCAAGACGACAAAAACCTTCCTCAAGAAGGCAGACGATTGCAAGGTCTGCAATTCTGTTGTCGAACAAGTAGACTCTGCTTTCGAATGCAACTTTTGCAAGCAATGGGTACATTGTAGATGTGACACCGGGGTACCAAAAGTATAATACGACTTTATGAGTAAGAACCCATGCCCATGGTTCTGGTACATATACCCAAGTTGCCGTCCTGATGCAGCCTCGTGTAGTTCCTCGAAAGCTAAAGATGGCATAGAGGTATCAGGGAAAAACGTGAAACGTTTTACTCCCACCAACTCAGAAAACAGCACAATTGCACGTAAATCGGGGATACCAAAATCCACACCGGTTATACTTGCAATTCCTGCCATATCTGCCCCAGACACAGAGGCTGAAGCACCAAGGGTATCTGTCGCTGGGAAAAGACCCTTACCATCCACCAGTAAGTGGCCACAGCACTGCGACACACAATAATACCCAGTTGCACCAGACGAAACAAAACGGTCTTAAGGGGGATGACAAATGTGTGAGGACCAAACCTAAATCCACGGTGAGTAGATCAAACTGCGTTAACCTCTATGATGTACCAGACTGTAGCAGTAGTCTGCTGGAAAACAGGGCCCTGTTTGACCAGGAACAGTGGTCCAACTTATGTAGCACACTGGGTCTGGACATCCAACCAGTAAAACTATGCAGATTGTATAGGGGCACCGCTGCTCCTCAAGGCAAACCATCCCCACTGAGGGTAACACTGGGCTCTACCGAGGATGCCAAAAAAGTTTTATTGACTTCCCAAGTCCTTCCTATAGGGAGGACCTGCGATATACGTGTTAGGCCAGATAGGCCATGGAAGGAAAGACAGATGGTGAGGGAGTCGCTAGAGCTTATTCCTTCTGCCTCCATGGTTGTTCACGGCATTCCCGAACTGGTAGCTGGGAACGCTTG